TAAGGCCGTCTGTCTGGACAACCTGTCAGCATTGCTGTTCTGCTTACCGGGTCAGTAGTGAATGGTGAAGTCTTATGGTTGTAGGGCCAGGCTCCACCGTAGCAGCCTGGCATTGTCCCCAGAGACCCAGTTAGGCCATACCAACGGGTTGTGATCCGTGAGCAGGGTGAATTTCTGTCCATATAGGTAAGATTGCAGTTTTTTGAGGGCCCACACCACTGCCAGGCATTCTTTCTCACTGGCTAGGGCACTGTAGTTGGGGACAAATTTTCTATAATAACCGTCCATCCCTAGGAAGGCCAGCACCTGGGTCTTAGTGAGGGGACGGGGCCAGCTAACTACTGCTTCCACCTTGGCTGGCTCGGGCTTTTGTGTCCAACACCCTACCCGGTGTCACAGGTATTATACCTCTGCCATCCCCAGGCTGCACTTGCTGGGTGTCAGGATCAATCCTGCCTCCCTAATCCTGTCCAGCTCAGCCCCCACATGTACCAGGTGTTCCTCCCAAGTATCACTGTATATGGCGATGTTGTCCAGGTATGCAGAGGCATAATCCTGGAGGCCATCTAACAGCCTGTTCCTTTGGAACGTGGCCAGAGCATTCTACTCTGTTTGTCTTCTTTTGCTATATTCTCGTCTTATGATGGCATGAACTGATGGCAAATTGCCCCACTAAAAATGGACGCTTCGGCGCACTACCAGAAGTTTTAAAGTCCCACTGGAGTGATAAAGAACTTCCGCATTTGTCACAGGAAGTGATGCACCGCAAGTTAGAATCATGGGACATCTGCAAAAATGGACATGTCTAAGCATCGCAAGTATTTTCGGAACTCCACTGGAACACTAAAAAACTTCCGCATACGTCATAGGAAGTGACGTATCACAAGCCGACATCACACGTCATCTCGGTGAAATATGATCGGAGGTTCTCCGACTCAGGACTTAAGTATATGGACTTTATATATGACGGACATGTTGGGGAGGGCTAAAGGTATGGTTACATAGCCGGAGGTGCGGCCATATTTTGGCACTACACTTCCAGTTATGACCATATATGGATATGGGTGGGAACTTTTACACAGATGTTTGTAATTATGTACTAAGTATCGTGATTGTTTCTGGTATATAAAAGTTTTCAATTCATTGTAAAGGTATATGCACTTGAGAAAGACCTATCTAAAGGTTGAAACGCATTGTGCTATTATTTGATTTTATATATTGTAGCGGATGGCATGGGACTGTCCGCCAGGATTAAGTTTTAAAAGACTGTTCGTGTATTTAACTGACTGTATAGTGAAAATTGTATGTGTATTCGTATGTTGGTTCGGCAGTTTCATTCATAGTTCATACGAATGGAAACTACCGAATCCATAAACCACCTCAGAGAGAAGTGTGCACCTCGTTAAAACTTTCCCACTTCTCTAACCGCAGTTAATTGGTGTTATATTGCCGTATCTGGGTGGCCGCCATTCGATAGACGAACACGTGGCGGCGGCCATCTTACGCACGAACTCTTAGTGGTGTTTGGTCGTTGAGTGTCTGGAACTCAAATCGGACACTCAATTGCCCGAACACCGCTGAGACCTCCAGAGCTCCAGAACTCACGAACGGAGGGGCTAATTGACTCCTCGAGTTCAATCTACCGAACAAGGGGGTTCATGCGAACGCTGTATTAGTTATGGATGGCAAAGATTTATAACTGTTTTACCTCCCGAGGATTATCAGAGGTAATTCTTGGTGGAATTGCTGCCAAAAATCTACCTAAAAGGTTAAATGAGTTTATCACTTATGTGATGCAAATTGTTAACATACTCAGGACAAGGGAAAATACCAGAAATAGAATAAGACGTTTGACTATGTCACTGGCACCTCGTTTCTCCAAACTTGTTATCCCTGACCTCTCTGTACTGTCCGAACAGAGTTCGGCAGTTAGGGGTCACAAGACTGTCAGAGGCAGAGTAACACTATAGAAGAAAGGAGGGTCTTTTTTTATACTGCGGTAAAAAAGGACATATGAGAAGTGCTTGTCCCATACGTCCGGAAAACTTACGCACCTATGAACCTTAAGGGGACAGGTCTTAGGTGTGATGGATACGTCCTATGGTAATAACCAAAACAGATTTCTCCTTGACATCACTGCCCTTTGCAATAAGAAACACTTTTCATGCAAAGCCCTGATAGGCTCAGGTGCGGCAGAAAACTTCATGGACGTACATTTTGTTAAAAAACACTTAACACCTATCAAGGAGAGATCATAACCTCTGGTCGTTGAGGCTATTGACGGGAGACCTCTCTCTCAACCTTTGATTACCCATGAAACCATGCCATAACATTCCAGATAATTGCTTCTCCTTCTTGTCCCATCATATTAGGATTTCCTTGGTTCATTAAGCACAATCCTTATATTGACTGGGCAAAGGGGGAAATACTGGAGTGGGGTAAAGACTGTATAGAGAGATGTGTGTTACCCATTACCAAGAGAGTGGGCCATAGTTGCAGTCGCAGGGCAGGAGGCAGGCAAGCAGGCCTCTCCAGGACAAAGTGGCGAAGGGCACTTCGTCACATGGTCTAAGGAAGCTAGAAAATCTTTTGAACTTCTCAAAATTTTTTTGCTTCTGCTGACATTTTGGTACATCCTGACACTAGAAAAACCTTCATACTGGAGGTTATTGCCTCTGAAACTGGGGTGGGGGCTGTTCTTTCTCAGAGGGAGGGTCAGGATACCCCTTTGCATCCATGTGGGTACTTCTCTAGAAAGTTGTCTCCAGCAGAGCGTAACTATGATATTGGTAACAGAGAATTGTTGGCCATTATACTAGCACTTACAGAATGGCGACATCTTTTAGAGGGTTCCAAGGACCCCCTTTTGATCATTACTGACCACATAAATTTGGCTTATATAGGCAATGCTAAACAACTGTCTTCTAGACAGGCAAAAAAGAACATAACTTCAGTATAACTTACTGACCAGGTCCCAAAAAGTTAAAGCTGACGCCTTATCTAGACAATTTGACACTGAATCAGTACAAGAACAAGAGACATCCCCTATTGTTTCGTCCTGAGTGTATCATTGCTTCCACTGTTCTTTCCTTATTATCCCCTCTGCTTGGTGCTATCATGGAGGCTCAGTCTCAGGCACCTTGCAATAAACCTCTAAATAACTTGTTTGTTCCGTTGATTGAAAGAGAGAAAGTAATGAGGGTGTTCCACAACGGGATTGCTGGGCATCCGGGCATTAATAAGTCCATATGCGCTATCTTGAAATCATTTTGGTGGGATTCACTCAGGAAAGATGTCAAGGAATAAGTGATGTCGCGAATGGTTCGTGGCGAACTGTTCGCCGAGGACTCATCATTCCAGCCAATCAGCAGCAGACCCTCCCTCCCAGACCCTCCCACCTCCTGGACATCTCACTAAGAATGCAGCTTCAAAATGGATGCTGTCCAGGATGTGGGAGGGTCTGGGAGGGAGGGTCTGCTGCTGATTGGCTGGAATGATGAGTCCGCAGCGAACCTTTCGTGACGAACCGTTCGTGGTGAACCGTTCGGGACATCACTACAAGGAATATGTGCAGGCCTGTTCAGTATGTGCAGTTTCTAAGGTTCCTCATAAACTTCCATGTGGGTTATTACATCCACTTCCCGTACCTAGTGTTCCATGGTCCTATTTGTCCATGGATTTCATCGTGGAACCTCCTAGCTCTAATGGCTATACCACACATACTTATGGTGGTTGACCGCTTTTCCAAGATGGCTAATTTTGTTCTGCTCAAAAAATTGCCATCCTCACAAGACCTGGTTCTTATTTTTATACGAGAAATTGTCAGACTACATGGCATTCCTCAAAATATTGTGTCTGACAGTGGTTCTCAGTTTGTGTCTCGGTTTAGGAGGGCTTTCAATAAACAGTTGGGCATTGAATTGTAATTTTCTTCTTCTTACCATCCTCAAACCAATGGCACGGCTGAGAGGGCTAACCAGACATTGGAATTGTATTTGCGTTGTTTTGTTAATGGCACACAAGATAACTGGTCTGAACTACTGCCCTGGGCCGAGTTTGCCAGGAACAATGCTACCCATGACTCTTCCAGACATAGTCCATTCTTTGTTAATAACAGCCGTCATCCTACTGTTCTACCAGCTGTTTTCTCTGACAAAACTATCCCTGCTCTGGATAATCACCTCGCTTCTTGGACCAAAGTTCACTCCGCTCTCGAAACTGCGGCTGCTCGTTTTAAATTTCATGGTGATAAATGGGGGGTGCCAACCCTGTTTACCAAGTGGGTGAGAGGGTATGGTTATCATTGCGCAATGTCAAACTAAAAGTTCCTAGCATGAAGTTAGCCCCCAGATTCCTTGGTTCATTTCGTATCATTCGGAGAATTAATCCTGTTCTCTATTCTCTGGCACTTCCTGCCTCCTTACGTGTACCTAATACATTTCATGTCTCCTTGCTCAAACCACTTTTTTGCAATAGGTATACTGTCCCAAGTGTTCCTCCCACCTCCATCAGTTGTTTCTGGACAGGAGGAGTACGAGCTATCCTCCATAATCGATTCCAGGTTTTCTCATGGTTCCTTACAGTATTTGGTTGATCAGAGAGGGTATGGGCCTGCCTGCCTTGTATTTGGGTTCCAGCTTCCGATATTCATGCTAGTCGCAAGATTCGTTCTTTCCATGCCAAGTTTCCTCTCAAACCTGGACCTGCCCGGTCTTCAGGTAGGGGGTAATGTCACGTGTTCATCCTCACCTCGTAGTGTCTGTGATGGTAACTGCCTTCCTGGCATTGATGGAGGTGCCACTCATCGGCCATGCGCCGGTGTATCCGGCCACTGCGGATCCAAGCCATTTTATAGCCCCACGTCCGCCCACGAAGTCAACGTGCGTGTGATGTTACGCAAAGGTCGCGCACGCACGTTCTGGTGTCCAAGGCCGGTTACGGCCAATCGGATCTAAAGAAGGTTTATTTAAACTAATTTTTACTTTTCCTCATTGTCCTGTCGTGGTTTCCCTTCAATGGTTATCCAAGAGTATGTTTCTGACCGTGTGTTTCTGGTTATTGACCTTGGCTTCGTTTTGACTTCCCTGATTTCTGGAATCATTGATTATTGGCTTTCCCTTATCGCTGTGTCCCTGACCTCGGCTAGTATATTGACTATTCTTAGGTACGTTAAATACGGCCATTCTAAGGTCTGGTTAGACGTTACCCTTAGTCCTAGGTGTGACAGATTTCTGAGTGCTGGATCAACTAGTAATCCTGACAGTATGGAACTATTTTCGGACACTCAACGGCCCGAATACCGCTGAGACTTCCAGGATCAACTATGTTCGTTCCAAGTCATCCAAAAGAGGCAGCGTTCGGTGAAATCAAACTTCCTAATGAGGGGCACACGATTAACTTTCTCACAAACAATTATTTGTGATATTTCGTTGTATTTAAAGCTCCTGAAAGAGACCGGCCGCAAAACCTGAAATTTATGGAACTACAGGGAGTGCAGAATTATTAGGCAAATGAGTATTTTGACCACATCATCCTCTTTATGCATGTTGTCTTACTCCAAGCTGTATAGGCTCGAAAGCCTACTACCAATTAAGCATATTAGGTGATGTGCATCTCTGTAATGAGAAGGGGTGTGGATGTAGTATCAACACCCTATATCGGGTAATGCATAATTATTAGGCAACTTCCTTTCCTTTGGCAAAATATATGGGTCAAAAGAAGGACTTACGACAGGCTCAGAAAAGTCCGAAAATAGGTGAGATATCTTGCAGAGGGATGCAGCACTCTTAAAATTGCAAAGCTTCTGAAGGCGTGATCATGAACAATCAAGCTTTCGTCCAAAATAATCCCAACAGGGGGTAAAAGGCGTGTGGAAAAACCAAAGGCATAAAATAACTGCCCATGAACTGAGAAAAGTCAAGCGTGCAGCTGCCACGGTACCACTTTTACCACCAGTTTGGCCATATTTCAACATCACTGGGTGCCCAAAAGCACAAGGTGTGCAATAATAATCAGAGACATGGCCAAGGTAAGAAAGGCTGAAAGACGACCACCACTGAACAAGACACACAAGCTGAAACGTCAAGACTGGGCCAAGAAATATCTCAAGACTGATTTTTCGAAGGTTTTATGGACTGATGAAATGAGAGTGAGTCTTGATGGGCCAGATGGATGGGCCCGTGGCTGGATTGGTAAAGGGCAGAGAGCTCCAGTCCGACTCAGACGCCAGCAAGGTGGAGGTGGAGTACTGGTTTGGGCTGGTATCATCAAAGATGAGCTTGTGGGGCCTTTTCGGGTTGAGGATGGAGTCAAGCTCAACTCCCAGTCCTACTGCCAGTTCCTGGAAGACACCTTCTTCAAGCAGTGGTACAGGAAGAAGTCTGCATCCTTCAAGAAAAACATGATTTTCATGCAGGACAATGCTCCATCACACGCGTCCAAGTACTCCACAGCGTGGCTGGCAAGAAAGGGTATAAAAGAAGAAAATCTAATGACATGGCCTCCTTGCTCACCTGATCTGAACCCCATTGAGAACCTGTGGTCCATCATCAAATGTGAGATTTACAAGGAGGGAAAACAGTACACCTCTCTGAACAGTGTCTGGGAGGCTGTGGTTGCTGCTGCACGCAATGTTGATGGTGAACAGATCAAACACTGACAGAATCCATGGATGGCAGGCTTTTGAGTGTCCTTGCAAAGAAAGGTGGCTATATTGGTCACTGATTTGTTTTTGTTTTGTTTTTGAATGTCAGAAATGTATATTTGTGAATGTTGAGATGTTATATTGGTTTCACTGGTAATAATAAATAATTGAAATGGGTATATATTTGTTTTTTGTTAAGTTGCCTAATAATTATGCACAGTAATAGTCACCTGCACACACAGATATCCCCCTAACATAGCTATAACTAAAAACAAACTAAAAACTACTTCCAAAAATATTCAGCTTTGATATTAATGAGTTTTTTGGGTTCATTGAGAACATGGTTGTTGTTCAATAATAAAATTAATCCTCAAAAATACAACTTGCCTAATAATTCTGCACTCCCTGTATATGTAGAGGAGTCATTATCAGACTGGAGCAATTTAAATGGAGTCCAAAAGAAATGGGATTAATTAAAAGTTGCACTATTGAAGGCAACAGAAAATTGCATTAGGCTTGTCAGTAAAAGCAAAAAATTCAAGAAACCACTGTGGTAATCTGCAGATGTGGCCAAAATAGTTAAAAACGAAAAGTTAGCGTTTAGGAATTATAAAAAAACTCAGAGTGAGGAAGACAAAATGATCTATAAGATTAGGCAGAAAGAGGCTAAGCAAGTTATAGGAGCTTCCGAATCACACACAGAAGAGAAAATAGCACAGTCAGTTAAACAGGGGGACAAAACATTTTTTAGATACATAAAAGAGAAAAGAAAAGTAAAACAAGGATTAGTTAGATTAAAAACAAAAGAAGGAAGATATGTAGAAGAGGATAAAGGTCTAGCTGACTGCCTCAATTAATATTTTTGTTCTGTATTTACAGATGAAAATGAAGGAAAGGGACCTCAGTTAAGAAAAAGGATAAATGAGTCATTTATTACACGTGAGTTTACAGAGGAAGAGGTTCTATTTCAACTGTCAAAAGTAAAGACAAATAAGTCAATGGGACCTGATGGAATACACCCAAAGCTATTAAAAGAGCTTAGTGGTGCACTAGCAAAACCATTAACAGATTTATTTAACCAATTATTGTTAACAGGAGTAGTCCCAGAAGATTGGAAGTTAGCGAATGTTGTGCCCACTTACAAGAAAGGTAATAGGGAGGAGTCGGGCAACTATAGGCCAGTAAGCCTTACTTCAGTAGTGGGGAGAGTGATGGAAACTATGCTAAAAGGTAGGATTGTTGAACATCTAAAAACACATGGATTTCAAGATCAGAGACAACATGGGTTTACTTCAGGAAGATCATGCCAAACTATTCTTATTGATTTTTTTGATTGGGTAACTAAAATTATAGATCAGGGTGGTGCAGTAGACATTGCTTACCTAGATTTCAGTAAGTAAGGTATGTCTTTTTGCTGATGATAATAAGATATGTAACAGGGTTGATATTCCAGGAGAAAAAAAACAAATGGCAAATGATTTAGGTAAACTAGAAAAATGGTCAGAATTGTGGAAACTGACATTTAATGTGGATAAGTGCAAGATGTACACTGCAAGGGCAGAGTACAGAATATTTGATAGAGTCCTAACCTCAACATATGAGGAAAGGGATTTAAGGGTGATTATTTCTGATGACTTAAAGGTAGGAAGACAATGTAATAGAGCAGCAGGAAATGCTAGCAGAATGCTTGGTTGTATAGGGAGAGGTATTAGCAGTAGAAAGAGTGCTCATGCCATTGTACAGAACACTGGTGAGACCTCACTTGGAGTATTGTACACAGTACTGGAGACCGTATCTCAGAAGGATATTGATACCTTAGAGAGGGTTCAAAGAAGGGCTACTAAACTGGTTCATGGATTGCGGGATAAAACTTACCAGGAAAGGTTAAAGGATCTTAACATGTATAGCTTGGAGGAAAGACGAGACAGGGGGGATATGATAGAGACATTTAAATATATAAAGGGAATCAACACAGTAAAGGAGGAGACTATATTTTAAAGAAGAAAAACTACCACAACAATAGGACATAGTCTTAAATTAGAGGGACAAAGGTTTAAAAATAATATCAGGAAGTATTACTTTACTGAGAGGGTAGTGGATGCATGGAATAGCCTTCCAGCTGAAGTGGTAGAGGTTAACACAGTAAAGGAGTTTAAGCATGCGTGGGATAGGCATAAGGCTATCCTAACTTTAAGATAAGGCTAGGGACTAATGAAAGTATTTAGAAAATTGGGCAGACTAGATGGGCTGAATGGTTCTTATCTGCCGTCACATTCTATGTTTCTATGTTTCTATGTATCTTGTTATGAAGGCTGGGACCTCTGGATCTGTGGTACTAGTTTTTTCTTTAGTTGTTAGGATGTGTTCCCTGGTTAAAATTGAGGTTTTCTTTAAGGCTTCATTTTGAACATTTTCTGAATAGCCTTTTGTTTGAAATTGCAATTTCATTTCTTCTGTTTGTTCCGCACAGACTTCTTGTTCTGAGCAATTTCTTTTGATTCTTCTCAATTGGCTAAACGGTATGTTGTTTAGCCAGGTCTTTTTATGGAAGCTATTATGTGGGATAAAACTGTTGCATGCTACTGATTTTCTGAAAGTTTTGGTTTCTAATCGGTTGTTCTTGACGTAAATTTCCAAATCTAGAAATTCCAGTTTGTCTGTTGATTGGTTAAAAGTAAATTTAAGATTATAGGGCTTAAAATTGCGATAACTTTTTAAAATTTTCCAATGTTAAAATATTGCCTTTCCAGATAAAAATACAGTCATCTATGTATTGATGCCATGAGACCAGATTTGTGCCAAATGGGTTATTGGACCAGATGTGCTCATCCTCCCATTTACCCATAAATAAGTTAGAATAACTTGGCGCAAATCTGGTCCCCATGGGCGTGCCTTCCACTTGGAGGTAGTTTTTCTTTATTCTCAGCCAGAAAAAATTATGGCTGAGAATAAAAGCTACACATAATACCACATACTTAATTTGATCATTTTTTAGTTCAGAATAAGTGGCTAGTGCATATTGTATCGCTTTACAGCCTTGTAAGTGTTCAATAACTGTATATAGCGATGTGACATCTGCTGTTACTAAAATAAATTCACTGTTCAATTCTATATTGGATAAAATTTTAAGAATATGAGTAGTGTCCCTTAAATGAGACTGTAATTTGGGGACTATGTTCTGTAAAACCTTATCTACGTACTCTGACAAATTGGAGGTCAAGGAGCCAATTCCCAAAATTATTGGGCATCCTGGAGGGTTTATTAAGGTTTTATGTATTTTAGGTACATGATAAAAAAACAGCCATTCTTGGGAATTTACAATAAAGATAATCATATTCTTTTTTGTTTAAGATGCCTCTTTCTTTGCCTTCTTCCAGTAGTAAGCGAAGTTCTATTTGGAATTTTTTGGAAGGGTTGCTTTTTAAAATTTGATATGTTTTGGTATCTTGAAGAAATTTCTTATTTTCTGCTTTGGAATCAATTGAATTTAATATTACTAGGCCTCCACCTTTATCTGCTCCTCTTATTATAATTTCCTCATCTTCCATAAGTTTTTTTAGAGCTACCCTTTCTTTTTTTTGTGAGATTATATTTGGTTTTGCTTTTTAGGTATAATGCTCTAAGATCCTTCTCCATATTTTTTTCGAAGACTCTCATATGGTGGTCAGTTTTAGGATGGTATGGATAGAAGGTTGGTTGTGG